AAGTGGACCCACATAATTCAATTGTTGTATTTTGAGTCCAGATGATGTGTTTTTTTTCCATAGGACATCTATTTGTGGTCTTGAAAGATATAGCTACTGAGATTATTTCATATATTTTCAGTTTTAGATTGGAAAGATGACAGAGGGGCTGGCTGGTTAGTTCTGCTGGTTAGAGCAAAGCCTTATAATAGATCTTATAATACAAGGTCATGGGTTTGGATCCCCATACCGGCCAGCCACCAAGAAAAAAAAAAAAAAGAAAAGTGACAGAAAACAATTTTCCATTTTAATAAACACGTACTTCTTTTTCCTATACTGTCTTGTTCTCATAAACTTCTTCAATTATTTATCTGATGGAATTTGTTAGAGATAATTCAGTGAACAAAAGTGAACAAGACAGTCCGGCTGGTTGCTCAGTTGGTTCAAGCACAGTGTTAAAACACCAAGGTAAAGGGTTCGGATCCCCATACCAGCCAGCCACCAAAAAAAGAAAAAAAGTGAACAGATATGACAGAGTTGTTAGAAAACTGTTTTAAGAGTTAAAATTAAAACACTAGGTAGTAGTTGTATTAGAATTAAATTCATCTACTATTTAACTACTTCACTTTGAAATTATGCCTCTACTTCCACAGCCTAAGGTGGTCACAGATACAGATGAGACTGAACTTGCAAGGCAGCTGGAGAGGCTGGAGAGAGAAAATGCACAAGTGGATGGAGATGATGATGCAGAAGAAATGGAAGCCAAAGATGAAGATTAACTTTGTGGGAAACTAAGTCCAATTTAAAGAACACAAAGCAGTCCTTCCTGGCTGTAAACCCTAGACTTGAAAGTTTTCCAGTATTGAAAACTTCAAAGCTGAATACTTTTTATTTCCAAGTATTTAAATGTTCTAACAGACCAGAACATGAAATGCCCTCCTAAATGTCAGCTGTTCTCACACAGTAGCTCCAACACATCAAGCATTTCTTAAGGGAGTGGCCTAATTTCACTAGAGATAAATCTTTAAGCTAAGAGCAGTCCTAAAATTGGGCTTGTTATTTCTATTTCTGATGTCTCCAGATTGGCACCCCTTTGTAGTTCAGTGCCTCCGTGAGATTTATACCAGGAGCACCCAAAGCAAAAAATCCCAATCTTTCTATATAAAATGTATTCAAGCAAACATCAAATAAATTTCTGGGATATTTAACTATAGGCTTCTTCCTTCTTGTCACCAGCTAAAAGCATTCTGAATACTAAGACCCTAATTCTATTATTATTTTAATCTAGATGTAGAGTTATAAAGGCAGGTGAAGAAAAGATCTATAACATATCCTTTTAAAAGGAGAGTTTAGAGAAAATAATTTTAACTTTAACTGCAGTGAAAGTTGACCCTTAGAGGGGGAAAGCCTTAAAATGCAATTAAAGAATTAGATTGGTTGTGTGCCTTTTTAACTATTTGAGACTGATGACAACTTCTTGTGAGAGAGAATTTATCACACTGGGTCCTTGTTGATATACTAAGCTACTTGCCTTGATTTTGTAATTCAGGGTGGTAAAGTTTTTTGTTTTTTTTTTTTTAAAAGATGCTGCTGCTTTGATTTAGATATTTTGAGTACCATCACCCAAATTTTTGATTTTTTCCCCCCATTAAAATACCCACTAGCTGCCACCTAGAGCTTTAGTTCTCTTTATAACAGAACAGGTATCTATTAAACACAGTTACAGCATGTTTTTTACATATTTCCATCATTTTTATCTTTAAGAACTAGTTATTCTGGCTGGCTGGTTAACTCAGAGCTTGGCCTTGTAACACTAAGGTCAGGGGTTTGGTTCCCCCTACAGGACATGCACCAAACAACAACAACAAAAAAAAATAACTAGTTATGGGCTGTGCCCCGTGGCTCACTCGGGAGAGTGTGGTG